AAGGCCCAGAATAAGACAAAGAAGGATTATTATGAAGTGTGAATCGCTTTGTATGGATCACATCACATGACTGGACTTCCTGTGTGATGAGGCCGTGGAGGGTGGAGCCTCCTCTTCACCAGTGCTTCGATAAAACTCGGCCAGCATTGATCTGAGACGGCGAGGTGAGCTGGGAGGCGAGGACGGTCCACGCCTCTGAGGCGAGGAGAGAGATGACGGGAGAGCTGAAGCATCGATCGGCAGCCCTGACAGGAAAACGAAACAGCCAATCAGAGGCGGGATGAGCGGCGCGGCGGCCTCGGCGATGATCCGACACGCTCGCATTTCCATCTGACATTAATGCGCCGCGATGACGGCAGAGGACTCGGATTTACTGACCTTCTGCTCGTCGCCGATGTCTATTAATGAGCGCTTGTGTGGGAGGACGGCGCCGCTGCGAGCCTCCTTGGGAGACCTGAACCTCCAGAGGGGTCAGAGGTCAAACCAAACAGGCGGCGGAGACCCCAGATGGAGGTTTCCATGGATTCGTCTCATCCAATCGTGCTGGTTTGTGGCTCTGTGCTTTCTGAGCATCGCTCATTTCTAATCTGTTTTATTTTGAACGTTTCAGAAGAAGCTGAATTTGATCTTTGCCTCGTATAAAAATAAGACATTTACGAGCACGTGAGATTTGTGAGCGCGCTCCGTCTGCACGCCGTCCGGCCCGTCCAGAGTCTCTAATTAAAAACGAGGCTGAACATGAATTAGATCCATTAAACACTGTTTGAGTGTGAGAACTGTGGAGGTCACCATCTCCTCGCTGTTCTCGCGTCGCTGACAGATTCCTTCACCCTCCATTATTACCCAGCGGGCCGCATCTGCTGCAGCGGCGGCTCTGAACTGAATCGGCACCTCGACGTGCTGACAGACGCAGAGGGATTTCTCTCTGAGCGACGGCCTCATCCTCATCAAACCGAATCTAAAACGATGTGTTTCATGTCAGCGTGTTCAGACTGACCATCCCAGCGTTTCATTCTGAGAGTCACACGATCTTCATCTCCTCCTTCATCAGTCTCACATCTCTGCTGCTTGTAAAAGTAACCGAACCCTGTGCGAGCAGCTCGCCCTCGCCGTGGACGACAGCTGTCAGTGGATCAGTGCGATGCTCCGGGAAGCCGTGCACCGATCCTCAGCACATCACTCGTTAACAAAATAAAACCACACACACGACAACAGCTGGCACCGACGCAGTCGTCCAATCAGCAAGCCCGACTCGTTAGGTTTCTGTCACGGTGCGGGGCGGAGCCGCTGCATCTCCTCGCAGTGGCGACGCCTGTGAGTAATCAGCGGTCACAGCCGTTGTTCGCGAGATCGTCGGCTCACCACAGCGAAGGCCGTCATGGTCAAAGTGTTTTAGTCACTGGTGTCGGCCATGTTTTTCTCTGCTCGCAGTAACACTTCGAACATTTGTCAGTTTTGTCGGTTTCGCCTCTGATCAGTCTTTACGGG